CTCGTACACCTGGCCATCTGATGATGATCGGATAACCATCTGATTTGAGTCACACATCCCCAATCACGAACCGTGATTGTGGATCCCGAGTCGTCTGTCCGTCATACGAAAATACCTTTCTGACAGGCGTGCCTCGAGCCCTGGTCCAGTAAGGTTAAGAATCAAATTCGACTCTCAATTCGAACATTCGGACCAGACTGACGTCACAAGGGCCACAGCGCGCCCAATCTGTTGTCACAGCCAAACGGAGATCTTTCCCTTTGATGGCTGCGATCTTTGGCTCGTTGCTTGCTTACGGTAGGACGTCGACAAGAGAGGAGAGGTCGGCAGTTGCTTGGGATCAGCTTGGAGCTTCGCATCACTCCAGTTAGTAGAGAGAAGATACGTATTGCATCCGCTGTGTGCTTGTTCCCTTGCCACGGAGCGTTTCTTTGTGGCTGGCCAGGTTGGATACTACTCGTATGAATGAGAAGTCCAAATCTTGGCCTTTAGGTAGCAGCAAGGGAATAGTAGTATTGGCCTTCATTATCTAGCTAGCTAGCAAGCGGCATCAACCACATCACACCCATACAACGTGCTGGGCATGATGGAGCTGTTATCCATTGGCGCATCTCTCTTGGGACGATCAGTCACTGCCATTGGCTTTCTCGCGAGAGAAACGCTACCACAGTTGGTTGTGACCATCACGTGCACCACTCTAATGATGCTGCTCTTGCTCGTGTGGTACGTCTTGACACGGAGACGAGCCACACAACGGTTGCTGGAAGAAGCTGGCCTACCCACTGTCTTTTGGACACCACGCTTTTGGAACTACGATGATTATCAAAATACTACTGGCAAGACAGCATCATCGGTACTCAAATCCACGAGCATTACACGGATGCTCCCTCGCATGGAACGACTCCAGGGTCCCATGGGCATTTACGGGACGGTGTATGGTTTCAATACCGCAGTGATCCATGTGGCTCACCCGGTAGCCGCCAAGGCCATCTTAACCCAAGCCGAAACGGGGGCATCCAAGCGACCCGCCTACAATCACTTTTCCAACTTTTGTGGACGAGGTGTCTTTACGGCCGATGGCAACGACTGGAGGGCCAAACGAGTAGCCGTGCTCCATGCCTTGCTGCGTGGAGAAGGATCCCTCGAAGAGCGTGTTCTGTACCAGGCTCAGTTGGCTGCCAATCAGTTGCTGGACTGTATTGATCAAGAGGATGGCAAGTCTTTCAATGTCGTGCCCCTGATTCAACAGTGTACCATTGGGTTGATCTTTCGATACATTACCCATCAAAAGGAAATCCCCAAGAATGTGACAAGTATCCGTGATGATGATAAGAACAACAGTGCTGGGTCGCCATCATCCCTGCTGCATCAATATCTAGAGTCCGTGACGCACATTCGAATGATCATCCTGGCCCAGTCCAGATCCATTTGGTTTCTACTGCCAAGATGGTGCTACGCCATGTTTGCTCCCCTCTACAAACAGGAAGAGGAAACCATGACAGCCATTCGACAATTTGCCCATGTAGCTTGTGACATGGCATTGCCAGAGTCTCCTCTGGATCAAATCAGGAATAGTCCCAGCCATCAACACGGCAAAGCCATGAAAAAGGCGGATGATAATACTACACAGTCGTCTTCTTCTGGTTCCATGGTCTCCCAGGACCTGTTGGAAGAAGCCATTACCCTGTTGTTCGCCGGACAAGATACCAGCGCAGCGACGCTCTCGTGGACATTGCACTTGCTCAGTTTGCATCCTGCCATACAAACCAAGCTGGCAACGGAAGTTCGATCGGTTCTGGGCACTACTACTTGTACAGACTTCAGTAGCAGTGACGACGACGACAACAACAACGACACGGTCCTTTCAAAGGCTATCATTGGGCGCATGCCCTATCTGGATGCCGTCATTAAAGAATCCATGCGCCTGTATCCTGTCGCACCGTTTGTGGTACGAAAGTTGACCCAAGACATCATTGTCATTCCCAAGAACGACAGTACTAGTAGTAATGATCATCAGGAGAGCAGCACAGGGCCAATTCGATTGCCGCAATCGGCCATGGCGTGTCTGTGGATCTACGGATTGCATCACCATCCGGATTATTGGTCCCAACCAGAAGACTTTGTACCGGAACGATGGATCCAAAAGGCGGATGTCGGCATCTCCAACGGAGCCTACATGCCCTTTGCAATAGGGCCCCGCAATTGTTTGGGACAGCCATTGGCACACTGGATTCTGCGAACCCTGTTGGCACGGTTAGTGCAACGATTTGACTTTGAAGATTCGCGTGTGCTGGACAACTACAGCGCTACCGCTACAACCAAAGTGGATCCATCACGAGATTGGCGGCAAGATATGCAAGCTGGATTTACCGTCTTACCACAGGGAGGGGTGCACTTGATTGCTTCGTCATGCATGCAGTACTGAATAGAGTCACAGAATGAATCGAACCTCCGTAAGCGCTAAAACTGTATTGTCAACGGTCCCTAGTAGAACATCGTCTCTATTTCAGCTCTACCACAGCAGAGGCCGCCCAGACTAAAGGTGGTTCAAAGGAACATGACTAGACTAATGAGTGCAGTTTGATCGCCAGAGAGATATGATTGGCGACTACTTCCGATACCCCTTTCAGATCCTATTCAACTAATTCATCCGGGGCACAGAATTCCAACTTCGAAGTGCAACGACTTTTACATATCATCATCATCTTCTTCATCGTCGTCCTCTGTATCACTCATGGCAACTTGCGGGTTGGATGCTGCTTCGGCCCCTCGGATCACGGCGTCGTTCAGGTCATTCAGCCTTCGGATCCTCACGGCACGCTCGCCCCGGAGCCTTTGGATCACGGCACGCTCGTCCCGGAGCCTTTGGAGGTATTCTTGCATGGCAATCTCTTGTTCTTCTTCACGAAATTCATTGTGAATATGCCAGGGATATTCTCTCACCTTGTGTCGACGCACATAGCGACTTGGATCCGGAGGTGCATCGGCCGTTGTGGCAGCTCCCGGGTGAATCAGGGCATTCAACTCCGCCAGAGGCACTCCAAAGGCAAATAAATTGCAAACGTCAATGTTGTTGCTGACTCGATTGAAACACTTGGAAGAAGTCAATAGCTTGAAATGCACAAACCGAGCCACCGTTGGTCGCTTTGCCGGTTGCGCACAAACGGAATTAAAGGCTCTGGGAATACCGGGAAACACAAAACCAGCCAATGGACTCCCTGGATCGTTGTTGCTGTTGTTGCTGTTGTTGCATTTCATCAGTTCATGTGCCAATTGGATTCCATTGGACCCGTCATAGACAGAGGCACTTTCCAGATTGGGCATTTGCAACGAGGCAAATGCCAGGGCTTCCTTGACTGGCGCAGAAAATCGAACGCCCCCATTGCGCACTTCAAAGGCCATGACCAAATGAGGTTCTCCCAGATCGGCCACCAAATCCACATCTCTGTCGACGAATGCATTGGTGCACCAACAGGAATTTTCTCCACCACGTCTTAAAGCATGTTCGGGATTATTTCCCGGTTGATGGCTGCCGTCATCGCAGAATACCAAACGAGATTGAATAAAGCAATCATCGACGGCTTCACGGTAACGGCGTTCCTGACGCTTCAAGAATGCATAGACTGCCTTCCAATCGGCGGCATCGGAGCCTTCGGCCAAACCAAAATCATCGTAGGAAAAGCGACGCCACAAGGCACGACTGTGCTTTGACACTCGGTTCCAGTGGCGACAGGTTTTGGCGCAGCGAGCCGTATCCACTGCGCCCAAAAAGGCAAAGATTTCAGCTGTTACTTCATCTGCTAGTAGAGAAGGGATGGACATGTTTGCTGCTGCTGGTGATGATGATGACGCTGTGGATGATGGCAACAAAGAGAAGATCGGATCGAGAATTTGTGCTCTGAGAAGGAAGAGTGAAGAATTTGGTTCGTTGTTGAGGCCGGATCTGGAGAGACAGCTTCTTAACACTGAGGTGAAAGGAAAGCACGTTTCGTGGACGGCAACCGTGGAAACAAAAAAATTGGTTGCAGGGCCTAGGGGGCGGCGTGACCAAGGACAGTCACTCACTCTCACCCCAACATCACATACATATGTTGAACGGGGGTCAAGAGTAGCGAAAGTATCTACGGAAGCCTTTGCAGAAGTGAATGAGGATTGGTCTGCTTCTGCTTTCATTGCTTTCATTGCTTTCATTGCTGCTTAGAGTGAGAAGAATGTGCAACAGTAATTTCCTCGCTCCTCGCTGCGTGGCTCCTACGTGAAACTATCCCTGGCGGCCGTGAAGGTACTAAGAACAAGCGAAATTCACGAGATCGCCGTAGCCACTGTGTCACTAAATATTGTGTTCTTATAAGGTTATATGTATGTCTTCATGTTGTGCAGGAGCTCTTTTGGCAATCAACTGCTACATTTTGCTTCTTCGCAACAAGAGACGCCGTCTGGACGTTTCTTGCTCCATTCCAGTTGCCTCCTCATTGCTACAAGCTAGCACAGTGGGGGCTTTTTGCGCACCACCTGCGTTTCTAATTTCAGCACCCTAGTAGGATCCGGCCATGTCCTTGTCATTCGTAGCCAGCACATCAAAGATGCACGCGTCGCGATCCTCAGGGTTCACACGGGCACACGCAATCTGGGCATCTTTGAGGTCAAGATTTCCTTCTCGCAAGCGGCGCTTGGTCTCCTGGTCCACTTTGGGCATTTCACAAGTTTCCGGGTACTGAGCACCCTCAAGGTTGTGGAAGAGCTTGGGCTCGTCAGCACGAATTTGCCACTCCTTTCCAAAGTCGTTCATGTCGGTCATGTTCTTGCCGCCTCGGGAAAGCGTTTCTCCGTAGGGGAAAGTTCCCATCAAACCAGCGGCGCCGATAAAGTTATCTTTCGTATCGGAGCGAACGTTCACGCGCACAAAGTCATTAAAAGTCTCAAAGCCAATCACGACGCCAGCAGGGAGGTCCATGAAACGGAAGGTCTTCTGCTTCTTGGAAATATTCTTGTATTTGATTTCATGTCCTCCAACCTTCTGGGGCAAAATTCCGTTGTTTTCCAATTTGCCTTCAACTCCATTGATCCAGTACTGAGCAACGTTGTTCCCTCCCTTTACTTCCAGGGTATCATCACCAATTCGAATCACTGCGGAGTCAATGTAGGACCACCTTGGGGAAGCATTGCAAACATGGGAGTACAGTGTGTCAGCAACCAGCAACACCACAGCGAAGTCACACATTCAAGGCACAGATTAGGGCCTCCAAGAGGATCCGGATGAACCAGTTGAAACTTACCAGGTGCGGATCTTTGTCCTGATGTGCACTTCCATGCCACGGCCACCATCGAATGCCGGACTGTTCAGCAAGAGTAGGTCACAGGCTCCATGGAAGTCAAATTCAGATCCAGACCAAAGCTTGACATGAGGATCGCCGAAAGAACCGCCGTTTGGAGTGGGCTTGGGAGCGGCAGGTGTTGGCTTGGGAGCGGAAGGAGTAGGGGCAGGATCAGCGGGTGTTGGGGCAGGGTTCGCTGGTGTTGGCTTTGGTGCTGCTGGGGTTGGCTTTGGTGCTGCTGGGGTGGGTGCTGGACAGACCACAGACAGGCACGCATCGATGAAGTATCCCTGCACGCTGCCATCACCACACTGTGCCATGAAACTGTCATGCTCACTTCCATCACAGCAAGTGTCCCTTCCATAAGCACAATTGCCTTCAAAGCCACATGGACTGCCAACATCAGGCTTCTCAAGAGGGCAAGTGGTAGGGAAGGTAGGACTTGCAGTGGGAGAAGAGGTCGGTTCTCCTGTTGGAGCTGTTGTGGGACCTGCAGTGGGTGCTCCAGTTGGGCTTGCAGTACTTGGTGCAGCAGAAGGATGTCCCTCGGCAACAGTAGGGGCCAAGGTGGTTGGGTTCAACGTAGGACTCGCAGTTGGGCCTCCAGTGGGTGCAAGTGTAGGGCTTGCAGTTGGACCTGAAGTAGGATTCTCTGTTGGACAATGGAACTCGCAGTCGGGAAGTGCCGCGGTGACAACACTTCCATCAGGGCAAGTATGCTCTTCAGTGGCATCACAAACAAACCCACAGTTGGCATCCAAAGCTCCATTTTTTCCTGCTCCATTTGGGTTGGGAACAGAAACACTGCCTGGGAAAAAGTCTGGGCGTTTCTCGTTAGAATGATTGTGCTCGTACTTGGCATGCCCTCCTTGACCATCGTTGTCAACTCCAATAGCATCTCGGTCAACAGTGATACGGTTCCAACCAAACCCAGCATTGCCGTGGCAAATGTTGACTCGAGCACATTCACCCTGATTGTTGATCAAATCAGTACCTTGGAAGGACTCATTTTGACCAACATCACCGCACTCTGGGAAAGGAATGCCTTGATCAGCAACTTCCCACAAATTCAGACCATCCCAAGGATTGCCAGAGCCGGTAACAATTCCGCTTCCACCATCACCACCATCACCTCCTGATCCTCCATCGCCGCCGGTTCCGGTTCCATCACCTCCATCGCCGCCGGTTCCGGTTCCATCACCTCCATCACCGCCGGTTCCGGTTCCATCGCCGCCGGTTCCGGTTCCATCACCTCCATCGCCGCCGGTTCCATCGCCGCCGGTTCCGGTTCCATCACCTCCATCCTCTGTTGGACAATGGAACTCGCAGTCAGGAAGTGCCGCGGTGACGACGCTTCCATCAGGGCAAGTATGCTCTTCAGTGGCATCACAAACAAACCCACAGCTGCCATCCAAACCTCCATTTTTCCCTGCTCCATTTGGGTTGGGAACAGAAAACTGCCTGGGAAAAGTCGGGCGTTTCTGATTAGAATGATTGTGCTCTACTTGGCATGCCCTCCTTGACCATTGTTGTCAACTCCAATAGCATCTCGGTCAACAGTGATACGGTTCCAACCAAACCCAGCATTGCCGTGGCAAATGTTGACTCGAGCACATTCACCCTGATTGTTGATCAAATCAGACCTTGGAAGGACTCATTTTGACCAACATCACCGCACTCTGGGAAAGGAATGCCTTGATCAGCAACTTCCCACAAATTCAGACCATCCAAGGATTGCCAGACGAACTCCATCACGATACATTCCCGCCTCCAGACCGCCATCGCCGCCGGTCTCCATCACCTCACCTCCACCCCCGCTTCCTCCCTTCCACTCGCCGCCGGTTCCTCATCGCGCCGGTTCCACACCTCCATCGCCGCCGGTTCCTGCATCACCTCCATCGCCGCCGGTTCCAGCATCGCCGCCGGTTCCAGCATCGCCGCCGGTTCCACACCTCCATCGCCGCCGGTTCCAGCATCGCCGCCGGTTCCTGCATCGCGCCGGTTCCAGCACCTCCATCGCCGGCGGTTCCTGCATCACCTCCATCGCCGCCTGTTCCTGCATCAACATCACCGCCAGCGCCACACTCATTACAAACAAAGCAAAACTCAATGTGGCTGATTCCCTTGCGCTGGCCAACATCAAGGACAACCTCAACACCAGCTTGCAGCTGGAAGACAGTTCCTCCATTGCCACCCTTCATGATAACATAAGTGTCGACGCTTGGTGTGATGCGGGCATCAATGAACTGATTACCATCTGCAGATTCGCAAGTGAGGTCAAAGGAACCACTAGGAGAAGTACCCTCATCACAGGTTCCGGTAGTCTTGGCATACTTCTTGGAGGAGTCCGCTTGGCCAAAGGGGATGCCATTGCCAGAGAAGCAGTTTTCATCCATCTTCCACCCATAGGCGAATCCCAAGTCCTGGCAGTTGGGATTGCCACTGTATTTGTCCACAGTGTACGTCTTGCCATCAGGAGCGGTGTAGGACTCGTCAAAGATATCAGGAGCAGTGTTGCAGGTTTGGAGGGCACGGGAACCGCGGAGGTCCCCAAGCCGCTCGGGATAGGCAACTTTGGCATTGGCGAAGGCTACGTCGCCCAAGACCACGAGGCCAAAGAGACTCTTGGCGTTGAAAATCATCTGTCATACCGTAGGGAGAATCAGGAGTGAGAGATGTTGCGCAGGAAACGAGAGAGAAACCTAGGCCAACTAGCCAGACACAAACAGCACTTACACTACTAACTACCTTTTCTTACTGAAGTGGGTCGATTTGCTTGTTGCTTCTTCAGAGGCCGACTTCGAATTTTGTGAGGTCTCCATAGCATAGCGGGCTAAGAGCACCGTTCTGGGTCATAAAGTATCTATTGAAGATCTTGCTTGCTTGGTTTTGGGCTACTCAAGCTAACTGGACAAAGGGAGGGCTGGATGAAGCATCCCGCTGCAAGCTACTGAGTGGAAGCAGAGAATCAAGCTTCCCCTCGCTTCAGAGCCAGGGCGACCCTGTGATTTGAGGCCTCTGACGGTTCTTGCAGGGACATAGTAATGGATATCCATACTGAAGATGCGTGTGCGACGTACATAGTCCCTGTGATTTGTTGCGTCCCTCGTCGGATAGCTCGAAGGGGGGCCTCACGCCTCTCACACCTAGCTGTCCCAGTCGCTTGTAGTAGCAAAGTCAGGACGAGCGAGCACATATGACCTTGGCATGGATCCAGGATATCGTACTCCCTATACCAGTATGCCTATGATAGCTAGGCTAGCTAGAGTACCGTACATTCATGTTCTTGGTGCCTCTCTAAAGTCAAGCTTTGCCAAGCTTGTAACCTGGAATGCAATCCTCGACAGAATGTACAATAGTAACAACGTGGAGGGCGGGTCATTGGATCTTGGGGCAATTGAGAGTCTACAAGAATAATTCATAAAATTACTTCCGCGAAAGAAGCCGGCGGGAGCTGTATAATCTCTCATTGACGTGATCGGATCTTTGAACACGCACTTCAAGATCCAGCCACTGGTGATCTTGGACTTAGATCTTTACTGGCGGGATGGTTCAGCTGGTTAGAGGAGGTATGGACCACTCTTTCTCGCTCCAGGTTCGATTCCTGGCGTCAGTACCTACCCGTGAGGGTGGGTAGGGTCTTCCTGCTGGTAAGTTTGCAGGTTTCGCCCGAACCGGTTCCAGGTGTGATTACGAAGGTAATATCTCGTGTTACAGTTGTTGCTGGGATGCTGAAGAGCTTTGGGTTTGGGGCTTACGAATGATTAATTAGTAACTTAACCCTCGGGACAAATGGAATTACGAAGGTTGTGCTTCGTGTTACAAAGTACCGAGTTTGTGCGTTGGCTTTAGAAAGTCTCTGTTATGAAAAATATCTCGTGGTTACCATACGGCACTTAATGTATCTGGGGGCTACCGGTACTTCACACGGTAGTGTGTCCTTAACAAGGTTAGGCATAATAAATAAGTCAGCGGGAGCTGCGATACCTCGGCAGAAAGACAAATAGAAGAAAGAGGATCATGTATGTTTGAGATTGCATCCTTCTTTCAAGGTAGCCCTGGCGACAACACCCGACTTCGTCGTGTGTTGCCGCCCAGTATTATTCCCTCATTATAACCTTCTTTTTTATGTATGCTAGCCCTGGCGACAACACCCGACTTCGTCGTGTGTTGCCGCCCACTATCATTCCCTCATTGTAACCTTCTTTTTTATGTATGCTAGCCCTGGCGACAACACCCGACTTCGTCGTGTGTTGCCGCCACATTATCATTCCCTCATTCAACCTTCTGTTTTATATTAAGCTAGCATTGATGTAGCCATGGGCCAACCCATAATTTACAGCTATCATTCGAATGTGTAACTCTAAATTTACAAACACCTGCTGGCTTATTGTGTTTTGTCCTGAGTGCACTAACCTTAATACTATTTATATATTCTACCCCTAACTTTTATTTAACCTTTAATTCCAGTTTTGCGCTTTATCCTATCTCGTATCCTTATACCTGTTGCTTCACTGAATAGGGGATCCCACGAAAGGAAATGAGGGGGATACCAACAGACACAAAACAAGGGGATCCACAGACAAAAACCAGGGGGATCCCACAGACAGAATTTTTGCCATTAAAGGGGTAGAGGACTCAGGCAGTCAACCTGCCGAGGTTAACAAGATCTCTGATCTTTCACTGATCTTGGACTTAGATCTTTGTGGTTGTTACTGCTGCGGTTGCTTGTTGCTGCTTGATTGAATGATTCTATCGTGCCGTACCGTACGGGTAGATATCTAGACCTTCTAACTACTAGTACGGCATCTACAATCATGATTATGAATACTAATACTAATACTACCAATTGTGGCATTCTAACTTGCTTCTTGCGTTGGTTTCCTTTCTCTGCTTTGTGGCTAGTTTTGCTCCGCCCTCGACAAAGACGACAGCCGGATGTGCTTCCTCGACAGATATAGATACATAGATATAGGATACGTCGTCGCCACCATCATCCCGTCGTGACCTGTTCCAACAAACAACAGGTGCAGCCGCAATAGCTTTGGGCGCTTCCATCCTCATCCAACACCCGAGGGCAGCCCAAGCGATTTCGCTGCAAGGACCCATGACGGAGCAATCCGCTCTCAACAAGGCGAACGAAGGATATCAAGGTGTCTACTTTGATCCCAACCACCCCGATGGATATCGCATTATTCGGACCGATTCCAAGACAGGCAAGACTACCATGACACTCAGTGACGGTGTCCCCACACAAGAAGAAGCCAAAACCTATACTGCCGCTGTGACTGTTGACGGCAACAACAACGCGTTTGTCTTTGACTTTTCCTTCAAAGGCGGACCCAAGAATCTCAAAGCAACATTGGCAGACGACAAGCAATCTTTAGCATTTGAAGATGGCAACATTTGGACCAAGAATTATTACAAATATGATGGCATTTACAAGGTCACATCGGGTCCAGGGAGCGAAAACAAAGACGCCTATCGCGTGATTCGCAGGAACAAGCCCGACATTTTGTTGGAGGTCAATGACACTGGCAATCCAGCGGATTCCAAATCTTGTCCGATGGGCAAAGTGGGCTCACTACCTTTAGCATTCCACGTTCCCAACATACCCTATTTATAATAAAAAAACAAGAAAATGAGGCAAAAAAGAAAGAAAGACAAGCAAGGAAAGCACAGCGGATAGCATCTAACTAAAAAAAAATATACGACAAGAATATATGAGAATGAAGCAGACAAAACACTCTAATAATAAGATATTAAATCCAAAACTAGAAAAGCAAAAAACCACGAAACCGAACAAAACACAACAAACAACAAACGAAATATAGGACAGAGAGAAGAAGGAAAAAAAAACAAAGAAAAAAAAAAAAAAAAAAAAAAAAAAAAAAAAAAAAAAAAAAAAAAAAAAAAAAAAAAAAAAAAAAAAAAAAAAAAAAACAGAATAAATAAAAAAAAAAAAAAGATTAAAAAAAAAACAAGAAAAAAATTTTACAAAAAACACATCACACCACAAAAGGAAAAAACAACAAAAAAAAAGAAAAGAAAACAAAAGAGATAAGATGAAGAACAAAATTAAAAAAAAACAAAACAAGGAGGTTACTGATAAATTAAAAGGAGATTTTATAGGATAATATTAGAGAAAAACAAACAAACCATTAGTCAAAGAGAAGCAATGCAGTACCTTATTATACTTTTTCACAGTCCTTAAAGATATCTTTTAATACTTAGACAGTACCATCCAAAGAGAAACCAATCATCATAGTTCTATTTAAGACAGTAGGCAAGATGCACTGAATAATCGAAAATCAGAAAAAATGTAACCAGGTAGAACATAACACGCAGAGAGCCATTTTTTAATACTACTTTACTATACAAGACAGTGATGGTATGTTATGCGGCTTTTGAGCACATACAAAGTCATTGAAAAGAGCATGGACCATGCTGCGTTAGATGTTAGGATATCGCAAAGGATTTGGATGGAGATGGCACCATGTAGGGGCCAGGGGCGAAGCAATGTATCTCAAAAGATGACAAGAACGGAATTATTATTGACTCGGATAGAATGCAGGCACTTGAGGAAAAGGGACCGATTACAACCAAGATTTGAATCTAAGGAAAGGCCAATGCCAATGCAAAGGGGCGATTACATTCAAGACAGATCAACAATGGGACTGTTTTGTCATGCGTTCCATCAAGTGTGCTTTACCACTCTAAAGATACCCGATATTCGAAGCGAATAAATTCCACTGTTCACAACCAATAAATACCTAACAGATCATCCCCCAAGAGGACACGGGAGTGTCGCATCCACATGGAAACTACATCCAATGGGAAAGGACTCGTAGTCCACCTAAAAAGTAGATCGTTCAGAGCAGGCCAGCAATACACTTACCCACCACCTCGAACGGTACTTGACAAGAGCACATGCTCGCTTGTGATTGCCAATACATAGGACGCTCATAAGTGTCTTGTCTCAATGCTCTCGATGCTCAATCACAGGCGTTGTCTGTGAAGACAGTATCGGCAGTAGTAGACTGGTCGCAAAAATGGGATACTCTTATATTAAACTTAGAAATGATACCATACTCGACGCAGTACGCTTACTAATAGATCGCGGATCAGTAAGATCGACTGATACCATTCGGAGGAGCCAGGTGATCGGAAGTAGGCATTACCCCGGCACGCATGGAGATCAAGAACGCGCCGCTCAAGTGTAGAGTCATCAGCGCCGCAGAAGGTACTCAATCTATAGAGTGCTCCTGTCTCTGCTGATCGGCCAACACAAATATATGCGGCCCGACAG